TCATCCTTTACCCTCCAGTCCTGACTGCTCCAGCTTCCTGTCCCCATAATACTGTGTGCTAGCCGGGCTCATTGGCTCAGCCTGTAATCCCAGCACTTTGGGAGGCTGAGGTGAGTGGATTGCCTGAGCCCACGGGTTCGAGACCCGCCTGGACAACTTGGTGAGACCTCATCTCTACAATAAAATAAAAAATTAGCTGGGCGTGGTAGCGCGCGCCTGTAGTTCCAGCTACTTGGAAGGCTGAAGCGGAGGGATCGCCGGCGCCCAGCAGGTCGAGGCTGCGGTGACTGGGAGCGGCCACTGCACTCCAGTCTGGGTGACAGAGTGAGACTCCAACTCAAAAAAACAAAAACAAAAAATACTGTGTGTCTACCCACTTTTATCCTCACATTGTTTTGTAATCCTTTGTTGTTAGTCTTTCGCTCCTGTTAGACTGAGTTTCATGAAGGTAGAAACTGTCTTCCTCTCCTTATCTCTAGTTCATTGTGCTCAATAAATGTTTGATGATTGGTGGAAGCTGACATCAGAAGCTATCTCTTGGCTTTGGGAAATCTTTGAGTCCAATAGAAATCATTGAGATACTAATCTAGGAGTCCTTGTGTTCTGATTTCAGTGCTCTTGAGACAAAAAGTTAAAGAGTTTACACAGGCCACAAGCCATCTGCACCAAGGAAACTAAATACAGACATACCCTGCTTTTGTTCACTAAATTGTGGTGGCCTGTTTGGTTGGCTGTGCTAAAAACAGCACCTCTGTTAGTAATATCACAATTTGAAAATTATGTAGATACGAAGCTGCTTTCACTGTACCCTGCCTGGCAGCAGAGGATTTGGAAGACTCTGGTCTTCCTTCACCTGGACCCTGAAGAGGAGGAGGTGGTGCCAGATCAGGAGTTCTTTCAGAGGTGTCTCAGGGTACAGTGGATGAGTCACTGGAATCAGTAAGGGAGAGTATGTGTGGCATACTGGGCTGTGACTCCCAGGAGTACGTGGAGGTTGAGACATGCCTGTTCCTATAACACATACAAGCCAAGATGGCTGAGCAGCCAGTTACAGCAACAGCCGGCTTCTCCTGAGGGGGTGGGAGGGTAGGGGCAATGAGTGGTCCTCCAGTGAGGACATCCTCAGATAAGGCTTAAATCAGCCAATGTGTTTAACTGAACTCCTGCAGTGTCCCACACAGATTGTCCTGAAGCATGTATCTGGAGCTCCTGTTGTTATTTTTACTGTGATAAATTTCTGACTGCAAAATAGAACACTGATAGAACAAAGATATCTTCTTTGTTAATAAAGATATTACTGTATTCCATCTTTTATCTTGAGCCACTCACCTTCCGTTTTAACTGCTGATTCCTGGTTTTCAACAGCCCATGGAACCTGGCGTTTTGCCCTATCAACACAGGAGTACCATCTGTGGTGAAAGAGTAACTATAGGCTATAACAGTATGTAGAGAAACAATTCAGGGTTGATTGGTTTGGGGTTTTTCTTTTTGGCCATTCTGCTTCCTAGAGCATTTTCTAGGAATGCATTAGGATGAAAGTGGGAATTGACTGTATAGATAAAAATTTGTGTTCATGGCACAAAGCTGAAAGCTGCTGCCATCCTAGTGGTAGGACTGCCTGCTATAGGCAGGAACAGAGAAAGCCAAGACAAGAAAGCCAGCATCCCTTTTGAAATCCTCATCTAAGTCAAGCTCGTGATTATACTTAAAGAGGAGTTATCATGTCCATTAGTTTCTAGGTCCTGGGATGCCCCAGGGAGACATGATAGTTATTGGATATTTCATCCATTATCCGTCGGCTCCATTTCATATTAAATGACAAAAGAAAATCCGACCAATTCTAGTTTTCTAGTCATTTTATGGTGTTCCCAAACCAGTCCTGGGGTCAGATATGTCTGGGAAATGGCTGAAAGTTGGCAGAATCTCTAAGCAACTATCTGTGCATTAAGAGAGATACCAAGTACTCTGATATAAGGATATCCTTAGATGTGGCTTAAGTCAGCTAGTGTGCCTGATTGAACTCCCATGGTGGGTTTGGCACTGGCAGGGAGGACGGATCCAAAATAAATAAAAGACATAGTCCTTGCCCATGGGGAATACACAGTTTAACTGGGGAAACAGTAAATATACAGACTTATAAAAGAAGAAAAACTCCACAAGGTAGTAAGTGTTACATGAGTGGTTCAGATTATTCAGAGGTCTTGATGTGGCATACCAGGACATAGAATTAGCCAGTAACATTGGAATCAGCTTTTGAACCTAGATTTCAGCAGGGCAACTTAGCGAAAAAAAGCAAACCAAAAGACAGTGGTTTGGGGCAAGGGATATTGACTACTTATATTTTTTTCAGCCACTTACGGGGCAAGGGATATTGAGTATTTATATTTTTTTCAGCCACTGCTGTACTCACACTTTGCAGTCATTTAGTCAATAATAGTTCTAGTTATGAATAACAGCAAAATAAATTTGTGGTATAAATTCAGTTCAGTGCTGTAATCCCAACACTTTGGGAGGCCGAGGCGAGTGGATTGCCTGAGCCCGTGGGTTCGAGACCTGCCTGGGCAACTTGGCAAGACCTCGTCTCTATAATAAATTAAAAAAAAAAACTAACTGGGTGTAGTAGCGCGTGCCTGTAGTTCCAGCTACCTGGGAGGCTGCGGTGGCCGGGAGCATGCCACTGTACTCCAGTTTGGGCGACAGAGTGAAACTCCAACTCAAAAAAAAAAAAAAAAAAAATTCAATTCAGTCTGACCCAAAGCCTGATACCAAACATGTAAAGCAAAGTATCATTTGGAGCTGAAGGATAGGTCATCTGAGCAGGAGGCAGGGTAAGACTAGGAAGATTTGGGTGGAGATCGTTTAAATTCCTGGATGATAGTAGAAGCAGAAGTCTGACTACCAGAAATTGCCAAGGTTGGTAAGAGCTGACCTTAGCTGGACAGATGTCCCTTCCTACCTCAGCAATCTTTGGGAGTCTGCCTGGGTAGGAAGGACAGGGAGGATGGCTAATGGGTGACTTGACTGAAGTTGAATCCTAAGGTTGAGCCAGGCCCTCTTCCTGGGATGTGAACCCTCTGGGTCAGGGGCAGGGCTCAGCTGAGAAACCTACAGGAATGCCACGCCTGGCTCATTAGTGGATGTCTGGGGAGGCCTTTGAAGATGAAACGCTCCATAAGCGCTCATTGTTTCTGTTTTTTGGACAAACTAGTAGTTTAGTCTCCAGGGACTGTTGATCTGGCTCCTTTGCACTGTCTGGAATTTGCTGCAAACTGAGTGGGGGGTGCTAAAGAAGTTTTTGAAGGAACAACTGAACTCCCACCAAAACCCCCATGCTTTGGTTTGTAAATAGAATTTCTCCCTATCCATCTTTTACATTTTGGGATTTGAGTGCACTCTGTCTTGACCTGTTCCTTCGCCTGCTGGTTTTGGGGTATGTGTGTGTCTCTGGTTCCCAGATGCTATAGAGAATGCCAGCAACTGGCATATGGTGATTGCTGAATAAGCTCTCCGCTGGTGCTTGTCTCCTGCAGGTACAGAGAACTGACTAGCATGGGTGATTCTGAACCCCCATTTTATTATTGTTTCAAAGGTTTATTTCTGTGACTGTCCTGTGCCAAAGAGAAGGAAGGGAAGAAGAGAGGGATTGAATGAATGAAACTGATTTTGTCTGTTGGGGATAATGGCTAGATTGAGCAGATAGGTGTTTTGTACCTTCACAGTGGTTCTTACTGCTCCCCTTTATTCTTTCAGCAGGTATTTAAGTGCCTGCTATATATAGGACATAACATCCAATCTGAATGAGCTGTCAGTGAGGTCAGTACAGACTTTGGGAGTCAGTTCAGTTATTCAACTATGTGATAGGTACTATTCTTGATACTTAAAACACAGCAGCAAACAAAACACATAAAGAGGTGACATTATAGTAGGAGGAGTAAAACAGTACAGCAGGAAATAAATATATAATGTGTCAGATGGTGATAACTGTTATGAAGAAAAGCAAAGTGGGATAAATGGGATGGGAGTGGGGTGTGTGTATGTGTGAGAGAGAGATACAGGTGGTTGTGGAAGGTCTCTGGTAGGTGGCATTGGAGTGGACACAGGCAGTAATCCATGAGGGTTATCTGGGAGAGGAGCACTCCAGGTAGAGGGACTAGCATGTATAAAAGCTTTGAGGCAGGAAAGCATTGGGGAATTAGAGTGGAGTAAGCAAAGGGAGAGTGGTAGGAGATATGGTGAGGGGAATAAGGGCGTGTGGGTCATGCAAGACCTTGTAAACCATGGTATGGACTTTGGGTTTTCCTGAAAGGGAACTATGAATCCAAGAGACGGTTTTTGTTGTTTTTGTTTTTTGAGTCGGGAGTCTCACTCTGTCGCCCAGACTGGAGTGCAGTGGCACGCTCCCGGCCACCGCAGCCTCGACCTGCTGGGCTCCGGCGATCCTTCCGCTTCAACCTTCCAAGTAGGAACTACAGGCATGCGCTACCATGCCCGGCTGTTTTTTTGATTTATTGTAGAGATGAGGTCTCGTCAAGTTGCCCAGGCGGGTCTCAGGGTCACTCACCTCGGCCTCCCAAAGTGCTGGGATTACAGGCTGAGCCACCGAGCCCGGCCAAGAGACAGTTTTAAACAAGGGAATCCCATGACCCAAGGTTTGGTTTTGAAACCACGCTGGATGCTATGTGGAGGATAGACTGAAGGGCTTGGGGAAGAAAGCAGGGAATGAAGGCCTTGGATGGGCCAGAGTGAGCCGAGGGTTAACCTAGCTGAGGAGTGAATGAAAGCCTCTACATACCCCACCTCCCAACTCTCAGTGTACAGTTTATTTTTCTGGTTTATTTTGGTGTGGAAGGAAGATGGACTTACAGAAATATAGAAGGAGGGGGCAGAGTCTCTGAGTAAAAGAGAGCATAAACTTTGGGAAACTGGCAAGTGTGTGAACCTTGTCAGGAGTCACAGAGAGCCACTCCTCATTCCACTCCCTCCCTTCCCACCCTTTCCAGAAGTCTCAGGGTAAGGTTGGGGGGAAGGAGGGGCATTAATGATTTTGCAACACCTTGGGGTATAGGGTAGACTGTCAGAACTGAAAGAATTTTAGAATCATTTAGTTCAACTCCCTCCGTTTACAGGTGCAGATACGAAAAGATGAAGTAACTTGCTCAGAGTCACATGATTAGATTACTGGTAGAGCAGGGGTCCTGAGTGTTCACTGCTTTGTCTCTGTTCCCAAAGGCTCATTAAGTATCTTGAGTGGGCCTTGGAATTCATAGTCCTCCCAGACTCTCAGTTTGTCATGAGTGAACTCCAGCCATGACTTTGGCAAATTCCATTTATACGAAGCCCTGACAAGAAAAGGGTAGTAACAAGTTTACATTTTCTTTGTCTAGGATCAAGTCCTCCATAGCAGGGGCCAGGCCAAAACCAGACTGCCACTGTCCCCACTTGGGCCCCACAGTCCTCAGCAGCTGCTGTGATCATGGGCAATATTTTTGGAAACCTCCTCAAGAGCCTCATTGGGAAGAAGGAGATGCGCATCCTGATGGTGGGCCTGGATGCTGCAGGGAAGACTACCATCCTGTACAAACTGAAACTGGGGGAGATTGTCACCACCATCCCTACCATTGGTAAGGGCATACTTGATTGCCGGCTTTCATGCCAACAGCTGAGGCAGGCAAGGGACCTATTCCTGGTTCTCCCACCTGGCCTGTTCTCAGCAGACAAGTCCATGCAGTCTGTGGGGTTTGGAGAAAGGAGGTTGTTTAGCTTACTAACAGGTGCTAGGGCTGCCGTTTGCCCACCTAACCTGGCCCTCCCTTATACGGGAACTTCCATAGCCTGGCACTCAACAGTTGCCCTCTGGCATTAGAGTTGGTTTGTTCTCTGTGTTGTTTGGAAAGCAGGTGAAGGGCTTTGATGTTCCTGCCAGAGGCCTGGAATTGCTTGGGTTTAGATCTTTGGTGGCCTATCCTGGTGAAGACCTACCTAGAGGAGGGAGAACATTTGCCATCTTTGCATCATCAGCTGACTCTGCCTTTGGGGCTCCAGAACTATAGCTAACTTCTCTTTCTTTACTCTCTGGCCCTAAATCTAAGTTAAAGCAGACTCTGGCGGCCAGTGTTCTGGAGTGAGGCTGAGTCATTTCTTTGTAGGAGAGAGAGCCAAAGACTGAGCAAACGCGTGTTTTCTTTTCATTGTGGGTATCATGGCCAAGGCTGGAGAAAGCAGACCAAACTCACTGGGCATTGTTTGCAGGCCTGGTATTTGAGGCCAAGTGGTCATTGCCTGTTCTTTCCCAAAGGGTTTAATGTGGAGACAGTGGAGTATAAGAACATCAGCTTCACAGTGTGGGATGTGGGTGGCCAGGACAAGATTCGGCCCCTCTGGAGACACTACTTCCAGAACACCCAAGGTAAGACAGATGAACTTTCTTTTTTTTTTTTTTTTTTGAGTGAAAGTCTCAC